AACTAAGAAGGTTATGTTTACATAAAGCCTCACAATGATGCCATTGCATAGGCTTTTAAATAATAATTTTAATGGCTTGTTTATATAGGCTTCATTGTGATTAAAGAGGCTTGTGACCATGATGTAATGCAATATGATAAGTGTGAGAATACCACTGTGTGCATGTAGAATTTTGCACTTTGATATGTTCAAAATCTTCTAATATAATGAAAACAATTGACTATCTTACACATATCAGCTAAAGTCACCTAACTAAGTAGTCTGCACACTTCCAGTCAGCTCGCTAGTTTTGAAACACAGCCATTAACTAACAGCTCAACATGGAGAGAGTTAAAAATAGAATAGTGGACAGGTTTAGAGTGAAGAAGGAGGAATAAAGAGCGAGGGAGAAGGTCTATGAGTGGAGAAAATAGTCTGATTAATATTGCTTTAAATTAAAACTGATTTTTCTAGAGCGTCCCGTTCGCCTGTTTTTTTTTCCTTCAAAGGCTTTCCGTGTTTCCTTCGTCTTTTCCCCCTCCTTTTTAATACCCTCTTTGACGGCCTTTGTGATTGCGAGTCATTTCCAATTCATTTCGGTATTGATCTTGCAGTGAAAATCAGTTTTGTAATTAGCTGCAAATTAGGCCTTCTTCTGGAGGTGAGTGCTGTCGGCCTGATTAATCGCTGGAGTAATGTCTCCCGATCGCACCCAAATTAAAATGAACTCAATTAGGCTGTTCCCTTTGCTTTATGGCTCTGACTCACGCTTTCGGGCGAGAGAAATTAATCGTCACTTGTTGTTTAGTCGGTTAATGAAAGTAAATAAAGGTTATCCATTATAATAAATCCAACACTTTCGATACAAAATTACACATAAAGGGTTTCATATGCTGTTGTTTGTGCCTGCGTGTGTGTTATTAATTGCTAACGTTGTTATTTTGCGAGTGTTTAGCTTTGGTACACAGCTTTGAAGGATTCTGACAGGAAATGACATCATTTCTCATGCGCTGGTGTTGTGAGCTCATCTCAGGTGTTTTTTTATTCTGTTTGAAAAATCAATAGATGGAGGGAGTTTTGCTCTTTGATCCTCACTGCAACACTAGCAATTACTGCTGAACAACACATATTTATACACACATACACGAACCTGAAATGCCACATAGTATTGGTGTTGAGATTGAACAGTCGTGGTTGTGCTTTCTTGAAATCCCAAACATTGTATGGTATTTTTATATGTACATTTATTTCTTAATTAACAGCATATTACTATTTTATTTTTTAATGTTAAATAGAGCGTAACACTTTTTACAGTTTTAACCATTGAGGATGACGCTTTTTATTGATTTTCTGATGGAAAATAATAAAAAAATGTTTTCAATAGACAACATTTTGTAAATATTAAAGCAAAGACATTTTCACAGTATGTCTGATAATATTTTTTCTTCTAGAAAAAGTTTTATATGTTTTATTTACTAGGATAATAATTATCTAATAATATTGACTTCAACTGTACATCTGTTTATGAAAAGACATCTATATGCATCTATAAAATAATACAAAATTACAAAAAATACATATATATATATATATATAGTCATTTAAATAAATACAAATAAAATATTAATATTATTATTAATAATAATATATTCAATATTTTTTTATTTTATATTTTTATTTTTATTTTTTTATAATATATTATTCATATATTGCATTATAAAAAAACTGTAATTACACACACACACACACACACACACACACACACACACACACACACACACACACACACACATATATATATATATATATATATATATATATATATATATATATATATATATAAATATATATATATATATATATATATATATATATATATATGCATATATGTATATATAATTTTTATAATGCAATATATGAATAATATATTATAAAATAAAATGAAATATTTTATATATTATTATTAATAATAATATTAATATTTTATTTGTATTTATTTAAATGACTACTTAAATTCTACATCAATGCATTTATTTTAAGAAAAAGCTTTTTAAATAAAACTTTATAGTTCTAAATATTTCATTTTGAGATAATTTTTATTAATTAAGTATTATTTTTTATATATTATGATATATGAATATATTTTATATTATTATTATTATTATTATTATTATTATTATTATTATTTTATTTATATTTATTATAAATGAATAATGAATAAATGAATTATAAATACTTCTACATCAATGCATTTATTTTAAGAAAAATACTTTAAAAACCTGTATAGTTCTAAATACTTCCTTTTAAAAATATTTTTATTAATTTATTTTTTATTAGTTTTGATTTATTATTTTTGATATATTTTTATTAATCAAAAAATATTTATAAAAAAACTAATCAGTTTCTACCTATTTTTTGGCAGTTTTGTACAATTATTGTAATAAAAACCAATATTAATAAATGAGCAGCAAATCAGAATATTTAATTAATTTCTGTAGGCTCATGTGACACTGAAAACGGCAATGATGATTAAAAACTCTGGATCACTGGAATATATTACATTTGACATTGTTTTACAATAGAAAATCAATTACTTTCAAAGGTTATACTATTTCATTAACATCACTGCTTTTATTACATTTCAATCAAATAAATGTTACTTTGGTCGACATAAGAAGCTCTTTCCAAAACATTTGAAAATCCTCAGGATTCCAAACACTTCTGTACACCATCTGATACCACGCTTGTACCACAGTACAGTCTGACTTTACATTTTGGTCCCACTTCATATTAAATGCATTGAACGACTATGTACTTACATCAGGATATATATACAGTGTACTTAATGTGTTCATAAAGTATTACAACACACTGCTTGTGCAATTGAGTACGGGTAGGGTTAGGGACAGGTTTGGTGGTATGGGTAAGTTTAAGCAAGGGTTAAGGTGTAAGGTCAACAGTGTAATTACAAATATACTTATTGAAATAATTACAAATATAATTGCATGCATGTATTTAATCAAGCATAAGTGCAATGTAAAAACAGATATTCACACAAAAAGTACATTGTAATGAATGATTAACAATGTAAGTACATATTAGTTAAGGCCACTTGTAAGCACATTTTTGTTAGGAATAATGAGTCTGGATCTGAGTATTTCCTGAGACAGATGGACTAACCTGCTCTGGTTTGATGTGTTCAGATGTAGGGAAGACGTCAGGAAAGACGGGTCTCTCGAACACTCGGTCCAGGGCCTCCAGCTGCTGCTGTGTGAAGGCATCGGCCCGCAGGTGTTTCCTCAGACTCTCCACACTGCCCTGAGAATCACTGCTCTGCGCAGAACCCTCCGACCCGTCTGCACACACACACACAAAAATACATTACATCCGAATGAGAGAGAGAAACAAGCAGGAAAGAATATTCTAGAGGCAAAGGAGAGAAGGTAATGTTTACATTTGTGCTTTAAAAGGAAAACCTCAGATGTTTTAAGTATACTAAAGGCACAGTGACATCAAAATAGTCAAAATTATTTATTAAAAAAGATTTGTTTGTACAACTATTTTTTTTAAATAAGAAAAAAACATCATAATATTGAATCAGAATAACTTCCTCTCCCTCTTCAACCTTATCTCCTCTCTGATTGGTGTTTATGTCCATGGGTGCGGGATCAATTGGTCATTCAAATGAGGTCCACTAATAGCAACTCACATCCATCCAAAAGCAAAATAAATGGATGAAAACGTCTTTTTTCTGAACATGGCCAACACCTGAAGAAAACCTGTGCAGTATTGTTCAACCTCCTTACCGGGTTAAACAAGGTTTCACAAACACAGCACTTTCTCCTGGTTTTCCTCTGACCTGATTACCCTTGTGCAGAAAGACTCCCCCACACCTCTCTCTTTCTCTCTCCTCCTCCTCCTCACGCTGCCAGAATGCTTTAGAGCTCCTTTAAATATCTTCACATCCTGCCTTCTCTAGAAAGTCGTGTCTCCCTTACAAATCTGTCACTCTGCATTCACAGCATATTATGTTCTCCGTGCGGCCCACAGTTGCTGTGATGTATGACATGCACTGCCTGTATTGATTGACCCAGCTTACAGAGAGAATGGATGTAGAGGAAGAATGATGACCCGAGTAAGGAAACAAGTTGTGCTTTTGAGACATGGGACAAAAACCTTTATATAGTTGATAATAATAGATTATTATATCTTATTAATATTGACCTTAAAATTGTTTTCAAAAATAAAATAATTAATTCCAGCCAAAATAAAAAGCATAAGACTTTTTCCCAACCCGGGCTCATTGTGGAAACGTAGCTCTGCGGACCGAGAGATACGTCCCGGGAGGTACGTATTCGAGCGGTTTTTGTTTTCGCGGATCCACGAGAGGCCGCTGTGCACGCTTTTTCGCGTCTCGGGCGCCTCTCCGGAGCATTCGCTGTTCGCGCCTGTGCTGTTCTCACACGAAAAGCCACCTGATTGGCCGACCCGGCCACCCTCCTCTTCCTCCTCCTCGGTTCGTTTGGCATATGTGAAACCACCAATCGCGCTCCAATCCGCGCCAAATCAATCGCTTCGTAATCGCTTGAATAAGGTGGTCTCGGCTGGATTAAAACGAACTCTGGAGCAGATCGATTGTAGTGAGAAAGCGATACGATCCGAGCACGGCTACATCACAGTGTTTTATGGATGTGTAATAGGCATACGGCAATATGAAGAGAGAATTGTGAGTAGGGCGGGAGGTTATTCCAGACATCCCAAGTCTCCCGGAAGTTTCAGTAGTCTCCCTAGACTAGTGATAATCTCCCGTAAATTGCGCGTCTCCCTCCCGGTCCTCAAATACGTCACGCACCCTTCTCACCCCTCCCCACCGCATCCCTCCTCGTTCTTCAGACACGTCGCACACCCTGTCAAACACCACCACCAGCTCTTTTGGTCCGTTTAGAAACTTTGCCGTGTGAAAGCGAACCGCACCAAGAGCAAAGAGCAACACTGTAACAATTTAAATCCCTGTTTCGGAACAACTGAATCGATTCACAGGTGTGAAAGCACCTTAATTGTTTATAGGGGTTTGCTCTTGAGCTGATTGGATAATATAATGATTGCGTGTGTGATGAATTAGCCTCTTTAAAGACTGATCGTGCTCCTCCCGAAATTTGTTTATAAAACATCACTTAGTATGGTAGAAAAACAAGTGTGCAAGGTTGCACATATACAAGTAAATATCATTAAATGTGTTTGATTTCTGTTCAGAATCTTTTTTTTTTTCTCTCTTTTATAGCTCAGGAATCGGTGAGGATAGAGACGAGAGGTTAAAAGCAGAGAGAAGGAGAGAGGGATAGATGGAGTGATGGAGGCTCAGGCTGGAATGAAGTCTTGATGAGTATCCTGTCCCAGCTCATCGTGTCTATAATACTCTTCTTGATCGCACATTTTTCACTGCCGCTGAATTCAATTGATCAATCATGTCTGTCTGATGGCACCATTTCAGCTGGTTATTACCACTGCGCTTGTCACGGTGACCTTTTCTTTCTGCACAGCGCGCTCTTTCACACACACGCACACAGACACGCACACACACACAATGGACACTGCTCTCTCTGTGTGTGTGTCCAAGTATCCAAGTATGATTTTACATCCGTACAATATTTGATGCTTGCAAAACATGTCCCTGCAGTGGTGCGTTGTAGATGACTGCCAAGGTCACTTACTGTAGGTTAAGTTAAGTTAAGAGTGCTTAGTGTGTTGCTGTGTGGTTGCGTGGGCATATTTGCCAGGACACTGTTGTAATGTTTACAATGCTCTTCTGGATGCATTGGTGTATGACTGAGTAAGCCATTTATATTGTTGTTAATGCATTACTGTTGTTTTCTTCAGAATAGTTGCAAGTGTGTAGTTACTGTCTGTCATTATGTTCAGATTGTACTGCCGTATGATTGATTGAACAATCTAGGTAGCTGTTAGGGTGTTGCTAGGAAATTGTTATGCTGTTTCAAGAGTTCACACTTAGCTGATGATTGATTATAAAGCATGTTTGGCATGCTGTCCCGAGAGGGAGCCCTGAGCATATAAGATCCCTGAGCCCAAGGCTCCCTCCAGTTTGCAAGGCGAGAGGGGAGTTTGAGCTCAGGGAGATCTGGAGAACTCCCCTGCTGTAGTAGCTAATGAACAGATAGTGATTGCTCTTAACGCCCTATTCACACGGGGCGTCAGCGTCAACGCTTCCCATTCACTTTGAATGGGTGACGTCAGGCGTTGCCGAACTGCATTGTGGATCCGTCGGCGCCGCTTCAGAAGCGTTCCTCGCTGCAGAAGTTGGGACCAGCTCAACTTTTCAAGCGCCGACGGAAGCGTCAGCCAATCAGATCGCTGTATGCAAATACACCAGCTCAGACAGTGGCCTATTGCTGACTGAATTTCATTGGCTGACGCTTCTATGACGATCGTTTCAGCTCCAACTTCAGACACGCCCTCTGTCAAGCGTTGACGCTGAAGCCCCGTGTGAATAGGGCGTAAGAGATAACTACTTAGGAGCATGTTTATGGTGCCAGTTTGGATTAGTCAATTAACTTTAGTTTAGTTTACTTTAGTTTTAGCATGTTTTTGGACGGTGGAAGGAAACTGGGGAACCTGGGGGAAACCCACATGAGCACGGGGAGAACGTACAAACTCCGCACAGAAATGTTGGCTGTCTTGGTAAGGACTAGAACCGGTGACGTTCCTGCTGTGAAGCAACATTGCTAACCACTGGGCCACCATGCCAGCCATCTAAGAAAGGAGGAGGAGTATGGGTGAAAGGGGAGATTCTTCAAAACGTATGTTTTGTATATATATATATATATATATATATATATGTGTGTGTGTGTGTGTATGTATGTATGTATATATTCTTTCTTTTTTTGCGTGTTATAATAGGTTTTCTAGCCAGTTGCAAGCTGAAATCACAGCACTCTGAGCAATAGTAACAGTGATGCTTGGCTTAGGCGTGTGTGTTTTTCCGCTTTCTGGCGCTCTGTTTGGACAGCTCCCATGGGGGTCCTTGAGGTGGAGTGGGTATTTGCTGTATCGGGCGCTGGGGCAAATGAAGTCATTAATTAGGTGCCATTAGGGAGCCTGGGCCACAGACCTGATCAATACGACTGCATTTGTCATTCACAGCAGTGACAACAGCTTCCCACTCACTGGATGAGCAACACACACACATGTGCGGCCATTACTGCGCTGGCTCGCTGTTCTGGCAGAGCGATGAACGTAACGCTTCATCTGCGCAGAGAAAACACACTACTGACTCTCACTATGACCAGGAAAACAGCATCATTACAGTACAGCATAATATATTACATTCATCTGTCTATATGTCCGTCTGTCTGTCTGTCTGTCTGTCTGTCTGTCTGTCTGTCTGTCTGTCTGTCTACTCATCTGTTATTGTGTCTGTTTCTCTATTCGTCCATCTGTATATCTGCATTGTAAAAAATTGCTGTCAATTTTACAGTAATACAGGCAATTTTTACAGTATTATTATTAAATTTACAAGCGCACTGTACTGCAAATTAATAATAACAATTGTGCTGTAAAACTACATGCATCTATATGTGTCTCACTATCTATTTGTTCATTTACAGTGCACTTGTATATTTCACAGTATTACTGTCAACCAAAATGCGCATATTTGTCTGTCTGTATATCTATCTATTTATCTAGCTACCTGCCTATCTGTTTTTCTATCTAACTGTCCGTCCGTCCGTCCATCTGTTTGTATATCTGTATATCTATTTATCTGTCCAGCCCTCCCTCACTCCCTCCGTCTGCCCATTCATTCGTTCATCTGTTCATCTGTATGTCTGTCCGTCCTTCTATCAATCTTTCTGTCTGTATATCTGTCTATATATCTATCTGTTTGTCTTTTTGTCTGTCTATATGTCTACCTGCCTATATGTCTATCTGTCTCTATATCCATCTGTCTGTCCTAATACAGCTGACTGTTACTGTAAAAAAGTCAATGCACACCTAAAAATATTATATTAAATTTACAAGCGCACTGTACTGCAAATTAATAATAACAATTGTGCTGTAAAACTACATGTGTCTATATGTGTCTAACTATCTATTTGTTAGTTTACAGTGCACTTGTTTATTTTACAGTATTACTGTCAAAAAAAATTGCCAGTAATACTGTCAATTTTACAGATTTTTTTACAGTGCGTATATCTGTCTGTCTGTATATCTATCTATCTATATACTTAGCTACCTACCTATCTGTTTTTCTATCTATCTATCTGTCCGTCCATCCCTATGTATATCTGTATATCTATTTATCTGTCCAGCCCTCCCTCACTCCCTCCGTCTGCCCATCCAT